TATAGGCTACAGTAATTGACACTATTTTTATACCTTTTATGCAAATTGCTCCTATCAGCCCACAAATGTCACTTTAAGCAGCTGAATGGGTGCTAAATAACATGTTCAAGCCTGGCTGATGCACCCTGGGGTGGGCCACTGAAGTCAGCTGTGGCATTGCCTGGGGACACCCTGTGGCACTGCCTTGGGGACAGATCCCACACTGTCCCCTCCTTGATCACCATCGCAGGGCATTGCTCCCACGGGCAATGGGGGTTTTGAACCACTATGGGCTTATTCAATTGAAGGGCTTTTTTGTCCAACCCTGTAGGTGAGTCCAGGGCTCCTTCCTCCATTTATCATCTCAGTACTGAAGGCTTCTTACAGAACCACGGGGAAAAGGAATGCAGGAATAAAGCCAAGACGGGAATTTATCCTAATTCCTTCATTTCTACACAAGTTGTAATGAGGAGAAAGAATAAAATCCCAAATCTCTGCGAGGGCTGTCTGTCCTGACTGCTGAACCAGAGCTGGGAAAATCCAGGTACCTGCTCACTTTTTCTATTCATGAAATCAACAGCTCTGAGCAACATTTGTCAATGGATATTTTATCACCCTGAAGAAAAGATACACAGAACTGAGTTCATCTGAGCTTTCTTTAAACAACTTGACTCCTTCAAGAGGGTGATAAGAAATTTGTGCTCACATTGACATGGTTTTCTCACAGAGGAAGCCGTGAGCACAGGGTTTTTTACACAAATATCCATGACTTGATCTCAGTTGCCATAGAAACGAGCCTGCTCTCTCCCTGCCAAAAATCTTCTGCCCAGTACAGATATACAGTTAAGTATTCAATGCTGGCAGATTAAATTAGCTCAAGAAATTATTTAGCCATTATTTAGGTACTTTCCTTGGAGCCAGGCACTGTTTTATTGAGACTTCCTGCCAGGTTTTAATAAAAAGCTGTGACAAAAAAATGTTATTGTAAAATAAATGCTGAAAAGGGAAACAGAGTTGCTTTTTCAGGCAACTGAGCTGACAGCTGGAACAAAAGAGAACAGCTCTGTTCTCACCTCTGAGAACATCTGCAGGATCACAGCAAATGCAATTAATTTAATGAATACAAAACCAACAGCCTCAGTAATGAAAACCTCAGTGTTTTCCAGAAGGGGCTTTAATTCCTGCATCTGGGAAAGCTGCTCTATTCCTCTCCCCTCTTTAACCTCCCAGAGCTGCTGTGCTCTCCAGACCCACTAGGGTGACATCACAGCTAAAATTCATTCCATAACTCCCAAATTACAGGATATTCTCTCCCAGGGGTTTGCAGCTTGGGAGGGTGAAACAAGAGAAGTCTGGTGATCATTAACAGCAGAAGGAAAAATCAAACTTCCAGGCTTGGTTTGTAGGATGGTCCCAAAAAAGTACTGGGGGTCTTTCTGCAAGTGTTTTTTACCCTGGTCTTGTGCTCTGACATTACCTGCAGGGAAATTAAACTAAAGTTTCTCATGTCCCCCGACCAAGCTGGCACCTGGCTGCTTGGTTTGTTGCCTGAAAAAACCCAAAAAGCTCAGGTTTCATTCATGTTGTTCTAGGACTCCCTTCCCCATCCCAGAATAACCATATTCCAGCTGAAAACAGGCACGGAAATCAGGACATGCCTAAAAATGGAGATTTTTAGCAGATAACAACATCACAGATAGCAGGAATGTTTGCAGAGTGCCTGAAACAGCAGAGAAAATTCATCCCCTGATGCCAGAGGATCAGCTTGGTTTGGCTCAGCCACAGGATGGGCTGGGAGCCAGCC